GAACTGTCTCCTTAATCCTTAATTTTTTTACGAAGAAACTTGCCCAGACCACCTGCTAAGAAACACAAGCTGGAGAACCTTGTGTCTTTCCCATTTGCATTTTCTCTGCATGGGGGCTGTGAGTGGCCCCAGTCACCTGGCTAGTCCACCTGCCCTTTCTCTAGCAGACATGATAAATCTGTCTTCCAGGACTCTCACCTGCACCCAAGCCAACATGCTCTGCCTCCCCTGACTTAACTGTCCCTTCCTGTCCGGCCAGGTCCCCTCCCTGCTGTGCTATGTGTGAACTGAAACCCACAGAGTGAGTCAGTGTAGGTGTGAGTGTGACAGCCTGGGGAGGATGAGGAGGTCAGGAAGCTGTCCCTGGGTGGAGTCGCAGTTGACAACGCAACCTCAACCCTTCCTGGTAGCAGAGTTTGGCTCTAACAATAGGTGCTGTGGACCCCGGGAATGAAAACAGAAGGAGCCACGGCCCAAGGGAAATAATTTACAGCAGAAATGTTCCAATGGTCAACAATCGAAGGAACATGGCTTTAAGAAATTTTGTGGCAACCCACAGCAGTAAAGGAAATTGAAAGAATTCAAGTCTTTCCCTAAAGCCTGCTGATTCTCATCTCGAAGACCAATTCTGTAATAGATTCTTCCCAGGCAACTGCCAGATGCCATCAGCTGTTCCAGGTGAGCGACCTGCCTGCCTGCTCTCTCCACCTGTGGACTCAGCCCAGCAAGGGGACCAAGTTTGGGTTTGGTCCAGATCCAACGATGCTTCCTGGTCCAGAGTCTTTGAGTCATGAGAGAGAGCACTGCCTCCGCCATCCCACCCACCCACACTGGTTTGGGGAAGTCTCCAGGGAACGGGAGAGATACCATCCCTCGGTTCCCTACAGTTCCTAAAGATGAGTTGCCAGTGACCGTGAAAAAGACTGAAGTACATGCTACAACACGCATGAAACTTGAAGGGTTCTGCCAAATGGAAGATGTGTTTAAGCAGGAACACATCTTGTTTGATTGTAAGGAGCATCCAGATAGCCAAATTCACAGAGGTAGACAGTGGATTAGTGATCCCTGATACTGTGTGTGAGAGAGGGGTTGGAGAGGTGAAAGCTAATTTTTATTTAGGGCAACGAAAATCTCTAAATTTGGAACAGCTGTATAATAAACATAAGGAAATTATAAGGAAACATAAACATAAGGAAAATATCAAATACATAAGGAAAACTATCAACATAAGGAAAACTATCAAAATATCAGGCAAACTATCAAATCGTTTTCTCTCTCTCCTTCCTTCTCTTCCCTCTCTCCCCATTTTTCCCTCTCCCTCCCTCTCTCCCTCCCTCCCTCCCTCCCTCCCTTCCTTCCTTCCTGTCCTTTTCCTGTCTGTCTCTCCGTCTTTCTTGGCAGTGCTCAGAGGTTTCTCACAGCTCAGTGCTCAGAAGTTGCTCCTGGCAGTGCTCAGGGACCTCATACTCCTGGGGATCAGACCTCCTGCATGCTAAGCATGTGCTCCAGCCCTTAAACAATGGACAGCTTGTACGGCATGCAAATCCTATCTCACTGAAGCTGTTAAAAAAAGAAAAAGTCATGTACCTTCAGATTTTTGTCTGAAAACCTACAAGTGCATGCAGATTTAGGCTCTTAAAATGTCTGCACTTTTAGATTTCTGTCAACCTCTGGTCCCTACCTTACTTTGCATCCGGGATAGTAACTCAGCACAGGAGTAGAAACCTTCCTTTTAGTTGTGAAATATCATGAAGAAAACCGGAAAATTGCACTTAGATGCAGTTCCTTCTGCTTCGGTGTGCAGCCATCTCCTACAACGATTGGTTCAACAATCTTCCAACCCTTCTGAGATCTGTCAAGTCCCCGAGCCCCACAGTGAGCCTCTAGCTGGCACTGTGTGTTGTTAACAGACACCTGGTTCCTCCTGCTCCGGTGGGTTTGGGGCAGCCCCACATCCTCAGGGGTGCATGGAAAATGCGGCCCCCTCCTCCTCCTTGGTTCCCAGGTGCTGAGGCCACCACCCATGCATCTTGTTCAGTTCTTCAGACGAGGCTCTGCGTCACTCACCATATTTCCATTCTTGTGCAAGATGGCCAGTGTGGAAGTTCTTCTTTTGAATATTTTTTTAGACATGTCTTTCAACCCATCTGAGAATAGCTGTTCCCTGTTAGGCAACACTCTGACTGCTAAGTAAATGACAATAACTTCTGTCATATCCGGCCCTTCCCTGCCATTTGGGTGCTCCCAAAGTTTGCTCGCCACCTTCCTTCTTTCCTTCTTGTTCTGTGCAGTTCAGTCACCAAGAGCTCTGAGCAGGGTGGAGGGCTTTCTTTAGGCAAGGGGAGCCCCCAAGCAGTCCGCTGGGTGCGGGGAGATCTCGGAGCTATTTCTGGTGGCACTCGGGGCTAAGGATGCCAAGTTGCTCGGACCTACAGTGCTGGGAGTCACCGGCTTCCAGGGTCACACCAGGCAGTGCTCAGGGGGTCTATGTGGTGCCGGAGGTTTGAAAAGCATTCCTGACCCCTATGTTCTCTGCCCAGCCCTTGGGTGTTGCTTCAACACAACACGCAGCCCCTATCAACCAGGATCCACTGTGGGCCCATCTCAGAATGACCTCATGTATATTTGCTAGTTTTGAGGTTACGGCCAACGGTGCTCAGGTGCTCAGAGCTGAGCTCAGAGCTCTGGAATTGCTCTCAGGGGACTAGGCAGTGCCAGGGATGGAAGCTGGGGTCCAGACACGCAGAGCAGGAGCTCAGCCCTTTGAGCCATTCTCCAGCCCCCAAGCAGGTGCATTAAGCAAAGTTCTCCAAGGCAGGGCCTGGTGGATAGTTGGTGCAGTGGCTGCTAGATTTGCATGCAGCAGACCCTGATCCTATCCTTGACACCACACAGGGTCCCCGTGAGTCCCTCCAGGAGTGATCCCCAAGTGAAGACTCAGGAGGAGAGCCCGAGCACTGCTGAGCACACACCCAAACAGCCCCTCCCCAACTCCCTGGGGGAAAGGTAACTGCAGCTGGCGTCGAGTCTTTCCTAAAGAACAGCAGAGGGCATAGCTCGGCGGCAGAGGGAGATGTCCTCACTTCCCTTTCTAGACTCGCTGTCTCCTTGCAGCTCTTCGAGCCCGCCACTGGTCTTCTGCTTCCTTAAAGCTCTCCCAGTTTCCTTCCTCTCCCCGTCAACCCCCTGAGTACCCCAGGCTGCACGGCAGAGGCTCCTACACATGCTTCCAGTGGAACTGTGTGTGTGTGTGTGGTGGGAGAGGGGTCCCCCATTCTTTCTCCTTTCCCCGCATGGGGAGCACTGGGAGAGGGGGGTGTCACACAGTGGCAGAGTGAGGATGCAGTACTTGTTCCCAAAGACTCCCCATATTTCTAGACCGAAGCTCTGGCGCCTGAGCAGATCCCGTTTAGGGCTGGCAGACCCTGGGGGGGGGGTCACAGAACCTGGGACTCGCCTGGAACCGGGTGTCCCTGTCCTGTCTACTGCTGCTGTCTCCGTCTCCAGTCCCCTTGTCAGATCTGGACGGAAAAAACTACCCCTCCACCCCCTATTTTCTTCTGTGGTCTGCGGGCTTTGCACATGCCTGGCAGTGCTCCTGTGGTCAGCAGAAGTCTCCCCTGAGATCCGTGTTCTTGCATCCTGGTGGCCCCTCAGAGGTTCCGATCACCCCCTCCCCATGCCTGCACCTTCTGCTCAGGTCTCAGGGTAGGTGCAAGCTGGAATTGTCACGGGGAGCCTTTTTCTTGGGCTCTCTGGAACAATCTAGAACCCAGATCCAGTGGGCTGGGAGCTGGGCTGAGCTGCATTGAGGAGGATGGCCCCCCTTTGAAGACAGATGGGGGGCTGTCTGAGCCCAGCTTTCCCAGCAAGAACGTAGCTCAGACTCTATTGTGGGACCCTCAGCATCCCCTGAGTCCCACCTGCAGGGTGGCAGCCTCTCCTCTATTCATGCTAAATGCGACCCCCTTGACCTGGAAATGGTTCCTTCTGAGTTCCCTGGTGGGCCAGAGCTGCTCAGGGTGGGTTTGAAGAGTTTAAAGCCCTATTTGCAAGCTGGACTCCCCCCCACACCTGACACCCTTGGTAAGTTTTGGGGCTGGCACACCAGCAGACTTGTGCAAGGGATGCCTGGCATTGCCCAGAGGCTGGGTGACACCCCCTTGAGCCGTGTGACCCTGGACGCCTTACTTCCCCCCCACCCCTCACTGTGAGATCAGGAGTATTCATAGGCCATTAGTCCAACAGAGACCAGATGAACTAGCATGCCTGGTGATTAATGGGGCGCTGAATGCCCCAAGCGTCTGATTACATACTTGCTCAAAAATGCTCTCCACTCTGCTTGCCCCTGGCAGCTGTCTGGGGCTCAGTAGCAACCTCTCCACCTTTCCAAGTGCCTCCCACCTGGAGACACATTTGCATACAGCCCTCTCCTCCACCTCAGAGAGCAGGATGCTCAACCATAGGTAGCTTTGGGGCCTGGGATGCAAAGACAGGAGGAGGGAAATAAAGAAACGTGGCTGGAGGGATAGAACAGCAGGTAGGGTGTTTGCCTTGCACGTACCTTGCAGGACCTGGGTTCAATCCCCAGCATCCCACATGGTCCCCCAAGCACTGCCAGGAGTAATTCCTGAGTGCAGAGCCAGGAGTAACCCCTGAGCATCACTGGGTATGACCCAAAATGCAAAAGAAAAATGGGGTGCGTGTCCTGCAAGTGTCCCCTGGCAGCCCTGCTCTCTGCCTGGCCAGCGGGTGGGTCTGGAATCCTTTAAGATGGTAGCAGCTCTGGGGCAGGGGTGCTTTAAGGTCTGTGAGTGGGAGCCAGGCCTGCAACTCAAAACCCCGTAAGGCACAGGTCGCCCCCTGCACCCCAAGGCCAGCAGCGGGAGGCTGAGGAATGGGTGACATTCTTCCCACAGGAGCCTCTCCTGGGTTGCAGCTCCTTGGCGAGTGGGAGCCATCCTGGAGCAAAGCACAACAGCGGGGCTTTTATCTTCCAGATCCACAGGGCAGGAGAGATGACGGATTCCAGAGGGCCACCGCAGCGGGGGCTGTGCTTTCTCTCCACGCTGCTTTCGCAGAAGGTCCCCGAGAAGTCGGACACGGTGCTTCGCTGCATGATCTCTGGTAACATCCCTAGTTCCCCCCTGAAACGGCCCCATGGACCGGCGTCAACCCCCTAGAGGCACCGTTGGAGCCCTACCTCGGGAAACTCCCCAGGAAGCACCTCCACTAGGCTGAGGGATCCCTGGGTATCCTGAACGATTCCCTCACAGCCCTGCCCCAAACCATTTGTTCCAGTCACTTCCTGGACACGTTCCTGTGGTCTGTTCTCTACTTCCCACTGAGGTTCTATGACTCCCACATTGGCTCTCTTTTCCTAATCCATTTTTTAATTTTTTTGGAGGGGGCTGCAACTGTGATTGCTCAGGGATTACTCGGGGCTCTGCACTCAAAAATCACTCCTGGCAGGAGTTCAGTTCAGTTCATAGGAGATTTTGGGGATCAAATCCGGGTCAGTTGCATGCAAGGCAAGCACCCTTCCTAGGCAAGTATTATCATTTTGGCCCTCGAATCCACTTTTAAACTACCTGTAGTGCATGGGGATGGAGTTGGCCTCTTCTGTTCATTGAACTCTCCCCTCTACACCAAAATCTAAGGTTTGTCTTCCTTAGGTTGCCAGTCAATGTCAGTGGTGAAGAGGTTAAAGCCAAGGCACAGAGTGCCATGGTGGAAACGCAGGGCACTGGAATTCCCCCTGGGGTGGAGAACCATCACCCAGAGCTGACCCAGAACTGCCCCCACTCTCTGAATGGTTTATTATTAAAAGCAGAGCGCTGGCCTTGGGCAGCACAGTGGGATTGGGTCGCTGTGGTTTTTTTCTGCCTGAGGCTGGGTCTACCCCAGAACTCTGTGAAGACCTAGTGTCCTCCTGCCCAGCCTGTTGCACCATCCAGAGGAAGGCCAGACTCTCAAACAGCCTCCTCTTCCTCCTCCTCTTCCTTCTGCTCCTCCTCCTCCAGATTCTCAAACAGCCCTTCCCTCCTCGTCCTCCTCTTCCTCCTCCTCCTCCTCCTCCTCCTCCGTCCTCGTACCCCAAATGCTGCAGGAAAGGGCCTATAGATCTCTCTGAACCCACCACGCAGCCACCCATCCCCTGTCTGTCCCCGGCGACACAGGTGGAGAGACACATGTCCACTACTGACCCTTCCAAGAAGGGTCCCCTTGCCCCACCTCCGGAAGCCCCACTGCTTGGACCCTCAACGCGCTCTAGGGCCCGACCCCCTTAGTAGCCAACTGCAGAGGCCTCACAGCGGGCAGGCTCACACTGTAGGGTAGGATGCTGGGGACCAAGCAAGGGCAAGGAAGCATGAAGGCCCAGCGCTCACCAGCTATCCCAGACACCGAGTCCACGGCGCAGTTCTCATTCGAGGCTCGGTGTTGGGGCTGAACGGCATGAACAGTGAAGCTAGGAAGGGAAACAGTCTACCGGGCTCAGCTGCAGCGAGACCTGAGCCCGGGTCCCGCACTTGCGTGTTGCGGAGATGTGCGGCTGGTTCAGGTGTGAGCATGCGCACACGGGTTCCGGGCAGGTGGGGGGACTCTCTGCCAGTGCGGGGAGGGGAGACCCCCGTGGGGGCTCATGGCAGAGTGGATGGAGTTGGGCTTTCGGGGAAACGCGTTCTCGGCGTTAGTCATGTAGGGGATGAGTCACAGGCCTGTAAGCCTGGCTGCTGTGTCCCCAGACCGGTCACAGGGACGGTGCTGAAGGCGCAGCCGAGGGCGTCAGCTGTCAGATCTAACAGCTGGCAGAACACTGGGGGAGAGTTGGAGATTGAGGCAGAGGGCACTATGCTTCTGCAGGCCCCGTCGGGGTACAGACCCCCCACCCCCCACCTCTCTTAGCTTTAGGGCCATAGGAAGGGGCTGCCTTGCGAGGGCGCTGCAGTTGCTGGTCAGGCACCTGGTCATGGGGCAGCTGGACCACCGCAGCGATGGATTCAGTGGGCGGAGGCCCAGTGAGGGCTTCCGTCCTGCAAAAATGCACCTTCAGGGCCTTTTCAGGGACTTAAGGAACCGTCTGGTCCTGTCACAAAGGGGGAAATCGAGGAGCCACTGGCATTGTGTGTGTGGGTGCGGGGTGGTGGTGGTGGTGGTGGGGTGTCCAGATGAACCTCTGGCATCAAAGGGGTTAAGGATCACCTGGAAGAGAGGAGATCAGGCTCTGTGGTGCTTCCTGCAGACGTGGGGACAAAGGATACTGCAACATCACTTTGTTCTTCCCCCTTCCAACTACACACAATTCTGGGCTCTTGTGAAAGCCCCTGTCCCCATACAGATATGAAACAAACCTTTCAAAGAATAAACAGAGAACCACCAAGTCTTAAGGCTCCACAAAAAATGTTTGAGGATATAGATATTTACAGGCAATTTAGTAAGGGGCAGGTAGGATAGAAGCATCAAGTGAGGTCAAACATTGATGAATAACATTTAGGGCAAGAAATCATAATTTGTGGGGTTATCTCTCTGCCAGACAAGGACCAGCCAGGCACCCCATTTTTAAAAATCTCTAAGTTTTCATGGAATTTCACCAAATGTGGGAGCTTAGTCAATAAAGCTCATTTAATGAAGAAAGCAGACTCTCCTTAGCTATTTCTCGGATGGAACTTTGCCCCCATGAGCCATTGAAAGAAATTAGCCAGATTTTTTTTTTTAAATGACATCTGAGTTTCAGACAAATGGTTCTTGGGGGCTCCTTGGACAAGAGATGGAGTTTCTAACCTGAGTGCTCAGTCCCAGGAAGGAGCATGGGGGTCCCAGGTAGATACCAGGCCCCAGTTGGATTCTTAGCAGTGAGTAGACGTTTCTCTCCTTCCCTAGCTAAAACATCACACTCATCCCTCTGGCCCTTACCTATTCTCGCACATAGTTTTATGGTTTGGTTTCCTAATGACGGCTCACGTAATAAGAATATTCTCATTTGTTTATCATCAGGTCAGCCCAAACCAGAGGTAACCTGGTATAAGAATGGTCAAACCATAGAAGAGTGCGGTATTATTTCCAGTTATGAGTTCTTCCAGAATCAGTATATTCATATGTTACATCTCTACTGGTAAGTAAGTGGTCGTGTCTCTGTGATCGCATACTAAGACCCCTGTGTTCTGCCTTGTGCGACCTTGGGTTTTCTCTTTAAGTCTTTAGGTGCTGTTTGGCAGACATTGCCCAGAGCACCCGGCAATGACTGCTGACCTGACACTGCCCACCCCCACCCGGCCCATGTGCTGCCACATATGGAATTCCAGCTCTACCTTAAACTTTCCTCAAGGTGATCCACCCACTTTAATCTTGTTCTCTCTGGAAAGTCAAGTAGTACAGAAGGATTGGACCAACCCAGTGTTGTCATCCAACCTTGTAAAGGATGGAAGTAAAAAGTGGCTGACTGTGTGTCCACAGCAAAGGGTGATAGAGTTAAAGACTGAGGGGCTGGAGCCATAGCACTGCGGGTAGGGCGTTTGCCTTGCACACGACCGAACCCTGTTCAATTCCCAGCATCCCATATGGTCCCCTGAGCACCACCAGGAGTAATTTCTGATTGCAAAGCCAGGAGGTAATCCTTGTGCATTGTCAGGTGTGACCCAAAAAGCAAAAACAAAACAAAAAGACAAAACTGAACTTCCGCCTTTTAGGAAAGGAACAGTGTAGAATAATGACCTCTTTTTCTCTTTGCCCTGAAGAACTGTTTGTTCAAATGCAATCCGGAAATGCCATCTAGAAAGTAAGGAAAGGGGAGTGAGCTTTGACTGGAACTTAGGGTGCAGTCCTCATGCTAGATCCCTAGCACGGCCTGGATTGTTCCTACGTTCCTTACTTGGTTCTGAGGGGCCCGAGCTCTGCAGAGCCTGGTATGAAGATGTCGTGGAGGCCGGACCTTGCACCAGTGACCTTGGACCTGAGAGTTCCCAGCCTGAGTGTTTCTGTTCTGGCTTAGTCTGGACAGGAATTTACCTCTTGGAGAAGCAGTTTCTTCAGTTGCGAAATAAAGGCATCACTGGGAGCATGAAATGATTTTATGCTCATGAAAGGTTTGTTGTGCCGTGGTTTGTTCAAGAAGCACTAGATTTCTTCTCTCTCCATCTGCTCTTCATCACATAAGAAACCATTTTGCCCTGCCTGAAAGGCTGACCCTATGAGCCTCCAGCATCTCTAGTCTGATGGTGCAGGCAGCGTTCATCCATGTGTGACTTCATCCCGTTAAGGAGCACTTCTGCTGGAGACATGTGCTTTGATTCTAGGTCTGACCATTCCTCTCTGCCCATCACCAACTCCCTACCCCAGCCCCCCATTCCTCATCCACGCTCCCTCTTTCCTGCATCCTTCACCCCAGTTTGGCCAAGGCTTGACCCTCCCTCCTCTGCACCCCTGTCAGCTTAGAGCACTCTTTCTGGTTCACCAGCAGTGCTAGGTACCCCTGGATTTGCCCTGGATCAAAATTACTCTTCTCTTTCACTCAGGTCTCTTTTAAGGTGTTGAGTTATTGTTTAGCATTTAACTGTGGACCTCCCAGGGCAGACCCCATGAAGACACTGCCGAGAGGGGCAGCTGCATTTTCCTGCCCCATAGCAAAGTCTGGTACTGATGACCACGCAAGTTCTGACTTTACACCACGTTGCAGAGCTGGAGCTGCCATTAGCATATTCAGGGGACTTCAAAACCCCACTAAAGCAGATTAGAGATATGGTACATTGGGTGGGGTGCTTGATTTGCATGCATCTGACTGACCTGGGTTTGGTTTCTCGTCCCCTCACTGACCCCAGAACTTAGCCACAAGTCAGCCCTGAGCACTGCTAGGTGCGGCCCCAGCTCCCCTTCCTTAAATCAAACCCCACCAAGGGGTGTTCTGCCTCGTTGGCATATTCAGTCTGAACACCAGGTGATTCCAGTGTGTGGGCTGAGGCGACAGGTGTTTCCTTCATGTCCCAGAAGATGCATCCACTCTTTCGTCGTAATGTTGAATGTGACCAATGTAGAGAGAGAGAGAGAGTAAAGTGGAGATCTGCCACACAGGCAGGGGGAAGTCTGGGAGGGGGGGTATACTGGGGTTCGTGGTGGTGGAAAAATGTGCACTGGTGAAGGGACGAATGTTTGATTATTGTATGACCAAGCGAGACTTAAACTGAAAGGCTTTATGACTGTTCTCATGGTGATTCAATAAATAAAAAAAATTAAAATAAATAAATCAATAGCTCCAAAAAAAAAAAAAAGGAAAAAGAAGATGCACCCACAAAGTGATCTGGCTCGTCCTGCTGCATTAAACTCTATTTGAGGGAGAGTTGGTGATTACACTATTAGCCTCAAATTTTCTTGCTAGAATTAACACATTAGCAGATAAGTTCAGAGTCCTTAAAGAAAAGGATTTGTCTTGAGTTTAGTCCTTGGCTCATTGGCTCTGAGTCTTAGAGCCCGCGGGCTCTTTGTGATTCCCCGGGATGTTTCTGGGTTAGCAGATGTGTCTGTCTGCTGCTCCCCTCTGAGGCCAGGAACCAGCTTCCACACACCTCAGCCTCCTCCCAGCCCCTTCTAGATCTTTCCCACACTCCCTCCTAATCCCTAAAACCCGGAACTTTGGACAAACGGACACACACCCTCAGAAGGACTTTCTTTGGCCCTGAAGACCTGTTTTCTCTCACAGGTCAGGTGTGCTGGGCACGCCCGGTCCAGGAAAGGCCACGGGAGAGAAGTGTCAGTGAATGTAGGAAGCTTGACACCATCGAGTGGAAAAAAAAAAAAAAACGGTTTCCAAAATATATGGAGTGGTGGGGAGGGGAGGAAAATGCAAAGCAACATTTTCTAAAGCTGGTTGCCTCATATATAAAATAGGATGCGTGTGCATATGTGTGAAATACGTGCTTATAAATGGAGGGACAGTGGACTCTGGGGAACACAAGAAACCCAGCTTTGCCATCATTAAGGAGAGACAGCAGAGCCACAGTTCATCGGCACATCGTGGTACACAGGCAGATTAGAGGGGCAGGTTGGGGTGCTGGCAGCTCCCAGAGGACCGGCAGCCCCTGGCTTTGGTGGGACTGGAGGTGGCCCAGTGGGTGTCCTGTAGAGACAGTGGCTTGGAGACATCCCCTGCAATAAGTCCATCTGCTCCTGCATGGGCCAGTTAAATGGTGCACCCCAAATTCACATCCGCCTACACACCCAGAAAGTGACTCATAGGGAAACAGGGTCACTACAGTCATCACTCATTGAAGAAGATGAGCTCGTGATGGACGAGCGTGAACCCCAGTTTCCTGACGGGTATGTGGAGAAACCAGAGTCACACAGCAAGGGATGCTGCTGCAGAGGTCACAGGCAGAGAGTGGGGGTGAAGGGGTGATAAACCAGGAAGACCCTGAATCGCCAGCTGCCTGTTGAGGGTCAAGGGAACCCTGGAGGCCTGGACCTTGGACTTGTGGTCACCGTGTCATGAAGGAAGACGGTTCAGTTGCTGCAGGCCTCTCTGCTTGACACGGTTCCCACAGGGTCATTCTGGGAAGAGAACGCATTCAGATAAAAGCAAAGGGAAGACAGCCTTTGGGGCCACCCGCCCTCTCGGCTAGCAGTGTTGCTCCTGGCCACCTGCGAGCAGCTCCAGGTCAAGGAGGGGAAGGACATTTCCCCACCTCTGCCCGGGCTGCTTGCTCTAGACTCAGGAGGAAGACCCGAGAGAGCATCTGGTGTTAGGGCACTGGCCCTGCCCATGGCCGGCCCCAGGTGAGATGGCAGCATCACACACAGTTCCCTGAGTGCAGGGCCAGGAATAGCCTCTGAGCATCACTGGGTCTGTTCTTGTCCTCCCCCCCCGCAAAAAAAAACCCTTGAAGGAAAAATCCACATGAGGGTCCTGAGATCACGTGTACGTGCCGAACAGACACTGGCACAGCTGGGCGCTGCAGTGAGGGAGGGGTAGGGGCTGAGGATAAGGAAACTGCTTCCCGGGAGACAAGTCCAGGGTGCCACCCCAACACAAAAAGCTGTCTCTTCTCAAACGCCAAACAAGACAGCGCCTCCCACCAGAACCCGCTTCTCAAGATTTCTGGGGGCTACTGGCGTTCCGCTATTGGCTTTCCTGGCCCTCTCAGGCTCAGTGGGGACAGATCAGACTGGATGGTTCACGCCGGGAGCTGGTGCTGGAGTCTCCTGGGGGCTCCGGGCCCCCGGAAGGCTAGGGCTGGTCGCCTCCTGCCGGGGACTGGAGTCCCAAGGCCATCCTGGCCCTCCTACCAGATAAAGCAAGGTCCAGGCTGGGGCAGATTTAAGAGGCAGGAGAGGGGGTCAACACCATCTATTGGGGGGATGTGGTCTTCTTCCTCCCTGGTACACCCAACTCCTCTTTCAAGTCACCTGTCTCAGATTCGTCCTGCTCAAGAGCTCCTGCTCTGCCGTTTGCCTGTGGAATCATTGTGTTTTGGTCTTCACCCCTTCAGTGAGCCCACAGTGTTGGGGGGCCTTGGTGTGATCCCCACCTCAGAGCACAGGGCGGGCCGGGGTAGGAAGACAACGAGTTCCTGCCTTCTGCTACTCACCCTGGGGGAGATGGTGACTGTCACCTGCTTTTCTTCTGGACGTTCAGTCCTGACACCATCTCCCCAGCACTCGTATTGGACCGCACAGGGCTGAGAGCCCCATCCCCCTGCCCTGCGCCCCACCTCAGATGCAGGTGCGAAGATTGGGTCCCAGGTAACCCACACCGCTTCCTGCCGGCTGCAGACTCGGTATCAGTCTCCCCACACCTCAGACATGTGTTGTTTGTGAGAACAACTCAGGAGGAGGCCTGGCTTCGAATCTCGGATGCTCTACCGTCCTCAGTTCTGAGTCAGCCCCGGGGAAGGAAGTGATGTACACATGTGGGGGGGGGGGTGGCTGTGGGTGCCCACCCCACCTCCACTAACCCAGTAGCTCTGTGAGCCCCACCTTTTAGGTTTATTTTGTTTGGGGGACATACACACCAGCCTTCTGGGCTTACTCCTGGCTCAGGGCTCACTCTTGGTAATGCCCAGGGGACCATATGTGGTGCCAAGGAATTGAACCCCGGTCAACCGCTCACAAAGCCAGAGCCTCCCC